CGAGGTCGATGGTCGCCAATGTGTCCTGAAAGGAGAAGGTATGAGAAAGAAGAAGAGCCTGATCACTTCATCGTCATTGGTATTATTATAACGACTATTATTTTGCATTTAAAAGGTAGTAAAAGAAAGATTTAATTTTCAAAACTTTAAAAGCACTTTTCATTTTTGTTTGACACATGAAAGTGCTCACTCATAAAAGTATACGTTTGAAATGGTGCATCCAAAATGCACGTAATGGGCAGGAATCACTTGCGTTTGAACCTGCACACTTCGATATCGTAATAGTCAATATTAACCCTCGTGGACTGGTGATAAAATATTAGTATTATTATTAGTAATAGTATTGTTGTTATAAATAGAAGTATTAGTGGTGGTAGTGATAGCAGTCGTTGTAAGTTCTAACATTTATATAAAATATTAAAGTAAGTTGGTAGTTAATGTTAATTTAAATTTAATATGAACGTAGTTTTATATTTCACGAAAAGGCAATAACTTTTTATATTTACATTTCACTTTCTGGTTATTTGTATCAAACCGCTCTCTGTCTGCCGTGTGCGATGCTGTAGTTGTAGTAATAGTAATAGTAGTAGTAGTAGTAGTAGTAGTAGTAGTAGTAATAGTAGTAGTAGTGGTAGTAGTGTTAACACAAATAAAATGATTTTATAGTAGTAGTAGTGGTAGTAGTATTAACAAATAAAATGATTTTATCACTATATCATGATTGCCTTGTAGTTGATAAAGTGAGATAAATTTTCAAAAATATTAACATTACGCAATCCAATCAAGAAAATATAATAATATTTATGAAATAATCACAATGGATTAACTAGATCATATTTCTCTTAATCCGTCATCACTTTGCATGCCTAACTACTAGTCAGTACCACCAAACAATCTACAAGTTTGATAGGCGGATTACCGGCAGCATTCAATGCAAGATTATCTACTTCTATGCCTATGCCAGTCTATTTTTAATGAAATTTGTTTTACAAGATAGAAAACTTTTGGCTCAACCGAATGAAGAAAAACAAATACAACATTTCAGAAAGTTAAGAGGTGCGGTGGCTAAAAAGGGCGAAATTGACAAACGAGCTAATAAACTTGTAAAACTTTAAAACTAAGTAATTTTGTATTTTTAGATATTTCAATCTTACTAAATAAGTAATCAATCACAATTATACGTGTGTACATTATGGAATAATAAACTAAATACGAACAGAACTAAATAAATTGGTACTTGCAAAGTTATCATTTTATACGTTAATGTAAGTGTGCAAAAGCTTGTTAATCTTATTCTTATGTCTTCTTATCATAACCTCACAAGCTGCATGCTATTTTAAAAAGTTTGCCCCACACTTAAAAACTAAATAAAGTACGTTATAACAAGTTGTTTAATTAAATTAATTGATGAATTATTAATTTAGTGAATGATATAAAATTTAATTTAATTTTTGATTGAATTATAATATTTAAAAACATTTAAAAATAAATTACAATAAAATACACTGACACTTCGCATTCACGCTTCTTCATCAGCATTGTTTTTCAATTGTTTTATAATTAAAATTTAATTTTAAATTTTAAATTTTATTCTTAAATTTATGTTTATTGAAAGATTTTTAAATTTTTTTCAAAAGTTATTTAAAATTACTGGAAGAATGTTAAATTATCGAAACGTAACTGAACGAGCAATGTACATACGCTAAGAAAGAAAGAAACAAATTATAATTACAGCACTTAGCAGGGAAATAAGCTTGAAAGTAGCACAAATTGGTTGCTAGGATACGAATGGAGATGTGAAAGTAAAGTATTAAACTGGATTACAAATTTCTTGCTTTATGAATTCATTGGATGTCATTTCTACAAATTTATATTTTATTCATACCCGTGGATTTATATCCATCCATGTTTATATCGTGGCAGATCCAGAAATTTTCGGTGGGCGTTGGATGATTTTCAGAGGTTGATGACGACCATATTATTTTTTGCTTATTTCCGATTGCTTAATTAGTTTCTTTATTTTATTTTATTAATACAAATGCGTAACAAAATTTCACTCACTATTCAGTGTAGAAAATACTATATTATGCCGTAAAATTTTATTAAAATATGTTACAATTTTTTCATTATTTTTCCTCCACAGTTTGGTGGAAGTATCTCGGATCTTCCCCTTGTTCCGCCTCTGTATTTATATTGTAATTCATAAATACATTTTTATTTTCAAATAATTCATTTACTTTTACGTTATGTTTTCTAAAACTGGAAAGACCATGGTTAAAAAAAATGAAAAAAAATTTTATATGTGAAATTCTGTAACAAAGAGTAGCCTTAATGAAAAATATAATGAGGATGTGAATCATTATAGAGATGAATGGGAAGGATAAATGAGGTAATAATTTGGAATAAGATTCATGCCATGAATTATTAATGACATGGCAAGAAAATTTTATTACTTTTTCGAACATCCAAAGCCACTGTGAAATTGAAGAGAAAAAAAGCTAATGGAGATGCAGTGTTTTAAGTTGCGAATAAATATACACTTTTGCCGCTAACAGCGTTTATGGTTTTCACAATATTTATTAGGTGTAATAATTTGACTGTAACAATGTAAGTGTGCAATAACGAGATAATCATCGTAATTCTCACTGGTACAATTTTCCTGTTCCAGTTAACTGCCAACCTCCAGTAACTTACAAAAGACCGTCACACAACTTCTTGAAATTATCATGGAACGCATCAAACTGAATATTTTAGTTAGCACACTGAAAAGGTAATGTACAATAAATTCGAAACTGTTAGCTGGATAGGCTTGGAAGAAATGAATGATCAACCTTACCTCACAATGTATTGTTGAATGGCAACCCATCCAAGAAACTGCAAGTGGGATTAAATAACTGAAAGAAGTTCAACCGATTATTAATATTATAAAATTTACACAAATAAGCCAATTCGTTCAATAAAGAACAAGTATAACTTATGTATTAATTTCTGATCATTCGGTATGAAATAACTGAAAATATATAGAATTTATTGAAATTAAAAACACGTTTAAATTCTCTTTAAGATATCATATTTAAAAATTATCCAATGTACAAAACAAAAGGTGACATTTGCAAACGGTTTTAAATGTCAAAATATTAAATAAAAATTGTTATAAATGTATTTTTTCAATCAGTTATAAAAAAATGTTGAGTATAGGTGAGACACAAAATTACCGCATGAAGAACTGAACAAGAACACACTCTTCATAATCACATAACATTTTTCCAGTACCGACGATAATGGATAGTTATAAAAATCTGCTTTGGAAGCATTCAGTGAAGGAAGACTTAACATAACTTGCAATGACGTTAACCATCACTTACTTCCCCACAAATTGCTGAGATGGACATTGGCATTAGATATAACACTGCCCACTCAAACTCTGCGAAAATATACGCCAAATTATTTACGAAAAAAATTAGCTTGTGCCAAAATTCTTAATCAATTTTTTTTTAGTTGTAAATATTCAATACCAATCACCTAACGGTGATCAAACGCAACAAAACAACAACGACGACAACAAATAGCAACAACAAAATTTAAAGTCCAAATAAAAAAAATTATTCTGTAGCATAACAACAACGTCATAATTAAAGAGTACTACAAATCAACATTATCGTAGCAGTCTTACAACATAGCAAAAATCTTACAGTCTATCCAAGACACATTACAACATTAACAACAACGTAGTCATTAAACCGCACATAGCAACAACATCATACTCATATAAAAAAACACAACAACAACAACATAATCATAAAAACAAAAATAGCCGTACAAAAAAAAACATCAGCATAGTCCAACCAACAAACACAAATCCAGACAAACATAGTCAAGACGCATGGCATGTTAGATAAGAAAAAATCGTCGTTATCGTCATGGTCATCATCATCACCGTAATCATTATCGTCATCATAACCCCCTTTATCGTCATCATCACCGTCATCATCATAGTCTCCGTCATCATCATCATCTTCCTTATCAACAAAAGTAGCAAGAGATAGACCATTTAGCGTGGAATGAAATGAAGAACAATGATATATACATAAAAAAAAAATGTCATTGATGCCAGCAAAAAGTTGTGGTACTGACCCTGCACCATCTTTCTTGATCAAAGAATTTTCTGGTATTCTGATACCATATCTATGTGCATTATGTAATGCATCACTACAATCGTCATGTCTGCCGGAGAGTCAAAAAAGGGCTATCATACTTCCTAAGGAAAAAAAAGCTGGTTCCGATGCGAGTTATGTTACGAGCTATCGGCCGATTTCAAACCTCACGTTTGTTTCCAAGCTTATTGAAAAATTGGTGGCCAAACAATTGATCGCATACCTGAAGTTAAACCGACTTTTCTCTGAACTTCAATCAGGTTTTTGCTTTAGACGCTCAACTGAGACAGCGATTCTTAAGGTCTTCAATGATGTTTATGAGGCTATTGATTCTGGTAGTATTTCTCTCTTGGCTCTGCTCGATGTCAGAGCTGCTTTCGATACGGTCAACCACAAGCTCCTTCTTGATCGACTTGCAAAGTCATATGGCTTGGGTGGAATGGTCCTTGCCTGGTTTGAATCCTATTTGTCTGACAGATCGCAAACGGTATGTGTTGATGGCTCTGATCTTGCTTCCTCCCCACTGTTGAAAGGAGTTCCACAGGGATCAATTCTGGGACCCCTGCTCTATGTTCTCTATATGGCAGATATTGTGGAAGTTGTTGAGTCATTGGGTTTGAAATGTCACCTTTACGCAGATGATACACAGCTGT